ATTCAGAGCGAAACTTCACCNCGTTAAGAAGTCCTCCCCCTCATGTGCGATTTTGTCCCACAATGTCCTGTTGAAGTGTTCATAGATCAGGTAGTCAGCCCTGCTCCAGTTCCTGTGGATCTTCTTCATTTTAGGGGACAGCTCTTCCTCCTTATATCCGTATCTAATGAGGACAAGGAGAGCAAAGATATGTTAGAATCAGTTCAACATGATTATCAATTACGCTCTGGTGTTAACTCCCTTTCGTAGTTTTTATCCAATAGTCTTCTTGCCCGGTTATTGCTAATTCTTGAAATCACATCTGCTTGAATACTCACTCTAGACTGTTCTGTATTTTGTAGAGAATGTCTGTCAGCTGCCAGCACATGTAGCGCTTCAGCAGGACTAGCGACTCGTCGAAGTACTCCAGCACCAGCACCAGCAGGAAATCCCGGTCCAACTGGGCTATGTAGTCACGGACGTACTGTTGGATCAAATACTGTACTTTAACGTGGTGCCTCATGTTGCACTCGGTATCATTGCAATGTCAATGACATATTACAAAGACGAAATTTGACAGAGGCAATAATTGTTTATCACGGCTTGACATATAATGATCAAGTCGGACGTGGTCGTCAGGTGGTCCTTTCTTAGAACATGGCTGAAGTTGTAACATATAAGCGATCCTTTGCAACTGTTGTTGCAAATCAATCATATCACTCGTTCAAAACTATCAGTCGGCGTAGTGTTTGAACGGAAACCCACAGATTCTGCTTTGAAAATGTTTCAGAATAACAACTTAAGTGCTACGTCGATGAAGGTTAGACATCCAGGTAATACGATATGCCAAAAAACAGTTACTCAAGCAACTGGATATGATTTTGAAAACGTCATTTTTTTTTTCAGACGTTTCAGCTAGTATCCACTAGCTTTCGTCAGTGACTGAGAGACCAGAGGGGAAAGCAGGTTTATATACACAACCTGTTGATTGATATGCAAATAAAGTGAAGACAAATTTTTGGAAGTCGAAAAAGGAACAAAAGTCAGACAAATCAAGACAAGATGATGCAAATTAGTCTGAAAGCTCCTGTTATACAGGACAGGAGCTTAAGTGTTGTCTGTCCTCGGGGCTGGGAGTGCCAAATCCCAAGTGCCGGAAAGATCGACCCGTAGCCCCCCTTCCCTGTTGAGGGTGGGGTTGTACATTCTTTCACATGTTCACATATATCCATTCTTTCACTTAAGTGCTAACGATGTACACTTGACTGGACCTGCCTGTTTATCAATATCAAGTATTCAATATTCTAGTTTTACATATTGTCTTTAACATCTCTGACTGCCCAGCCTTTCAGACTGTGATATTATTCATTATAAATTGTAATCGTCTCTGCCAGTACTTTCTTTCTTTATGTGATGAGGCTTATATTAGCAGCCGCTACAGTTGCACACCACTGTGCCCTGTACGTTTTCATGTTGAGCAACAAATAAAAAAACATGTTAAGTGCATGTCGTACCGTCTCGTCATCAGCTAGAGCGATGGGCAGCCCCAGGTCGTACGACATGAAGTTGCGTGTGTAGGAGAACGGCTGTTTGTGCTCACGCGGGACTAGCCACTTCCGGTCCAGCTCTCCTGGATGCTTCAGTAGATCGTCCACCGGGTCAGTTCTCTGTAGTCCGTACTTTCGCACCAAGGAATACCAGTTTAAAACCGATTTAAGGTGGCTGGAAAAGAAACGATTCGTCAAATCTAAATTTTGCCCAAGTTATAATGTAGTTCTGAGACGTGTATGAAGAAAGTAGAAGACAGTACAGTACTTGAAGCAAGTTTGAATAAAATATGATTGACAGATGTGACACATGATAGGTGACGACATGGCCAGAGAGCTCTCTATGCTAATTAAAAACTGCACCCTTGGGCGAAATGAAGACGCAATCAGTTGCTTAAATGATTTGAGTATTGTCACCCATAAGACTCCCTGACTATAGCCAGTATGGGAATTTCCAGTGGGAAAACATTTCAGCGGTAAATAATGTTAATTTTCTATTCCCCAGTAATCAAATCAGACATCATGCTTGTCTCGAAGCAAATATTGGGATGCCTTGAGAAGAGCACAAGTATGTCAGCTCATTTGTCACCTGTAAGGCTCCCTGACTATAGCCAGGTAGACGGTGTCGTTGGGCAGCAGGTTCCTGAAGATCTCCCTGTTGTACACCGTGTGGTCCACCAGCAGGTCGAAGGGCCGGCCGGGGATGGGCTGTAGGTAATCCTCCTTCTTCATCAGGTACGGCCAACCTAGGGGTATGGGGTCGCGGTTGAGCGGCCATATGAAATGCGAGATTTCTGTTGTGCCTATGCGGGCCAAACCTAAATTCTAAGCTTCAGACTCAGTCCTGAAACTCGGACGAATATGGCATTTCAGTGTTTTCTTACTTGATAGTACGTCTAAAAGTTAAGCCTCCTCAGCTCCTTCAGAAAAAGTGGGTTAACTTTGCGTGTACCATAGACGTAGGAAAGACCTTTTGATCTTGAAGGCTTAAAACATTGAAGGTAAAAAAATGCGCCGAAAGCCCCTCAAGTAAACACAGATGGCGAACCTGCATGACAACCTAAGCATAGGAACGTTTAACTCACCTACATCTACTCTCTCGTTGCTAGGCAATACAAATTGCAGATGGCGTTTGCGTCCGAACCGCTGGAAGACAGTGTATGGTGTTGTTGAACCAGCTTTGTGCACTTTGACGAAGGCAAAGTGTTTTCTTTCTGCACTACAGAGCTCGTGTGGCGAATCTGGAGGCGTTTCCGTCAAGCTCCAATTGCTTTTAAGACCTTTGCAGGACTCTACCCTCGTCTTCTTACAGCGACGTCCTCCTAGTCCAACGTCGTCGACGATCTCAGCCCTAACGGATTTTGCAAGGATTGCAATGTTACAATGTTGATTCAACAATTTTATCAACGTTTGCGCTGACATATATGGTAAGTAAAATTAAGTCGACTACGTCTCTCAATCTATCTTTGTGAAAAATTCACGAATATACCGGAAGCTTCAATCTTCCTTTCAAGTCACACCACATGGATACATGGCAATTCTATCGAACCAAAGCACGTACATGACCAAGGCCATTATAAAAGAATACCGACCAGATTCATCAAATGAAAGGACGATCTGTGGGCCATGAACACAACTACATTGTACATCAACTACATTGAATATGCATCAACTACGTTATATATGATACATGACAATTTATTAGAGAAGCGTTTATCAACAGTTTGCTTGTCTCGCAATGTGTACACCCAAAATACACCCCTCCCCTTAGGACATCCATAACTTACCAACCAGTATCGTTATAAGCCGCGGGCCGGGCGACGCCCTGGACGACGTTTGACGTTACGTTGATGACGCCCGACGGAACAGACAAGTACGTCATGCCGACAAGAAGAACCGCACAGATGAGAAAGCTGAATCCCTGACGTACACATGGCTTCTTACTGCTCGGTGTCGTCACTGTGGTGCTTCCTGGACTGGTACTCGTTTTGTTGTTGGTCGAAGATGCCATCATTGGAAAAAGTAATATCTGGAGTGTGTCTGGCAGGCAAACGAGCTGTTCTCGTCAATCTTGAGAAAGGCCGAAACGCCCTGCGTTTTGGTATGTGAAGCTCTTTGAGAGGTATGTATGTCAGGTGCGGTACATTTTAATGTAAATTGACTATCAAGTCACTCACGAAATTTTGCCAATGTAGCAATTACTTTATCCACTTCATCAGAGGCGTTCGTCGTTAGATTTAATTTTCATTTGTTCTTTCTTCCGGTTCCTGCCTGTCCGCCTAAATGCTTAGGCCAGAACTGGCCCCTCTTCATTTTGTCCCACCAGGCAGCACAGTGTGCCGATTGGTGATATCTTTATTGGATGCTTTATTGGATATTTGATGAACTTGAATTTAAATATACCACAGCTGACATACACACTTTTCTAAAATTGGTCGGAGATTGGTCTTAGATAGCAACTTTTGCCGTCTCCTAAGCATGGAAGCCTTTGACTATCGAAGAGCACTGAAAGAGAGATACTGAAATATTGCAACACCTGGCAGTGCGTAGTTTGCACAAGAAACACCGCTCAAAATTGAAACGAAATAGGAAACAACTATCAGTGTAAAGCTTTACGACAAGAGAACTCTCAAATATACTTGTTTTCAATGTGCTTGTATCAAATACTAGTGAACATTTCAATTTGTCATCATTTGTATCAGGCATAAAGGCATCATATGAAAATAAGGGTACAGTGAATAGTCTAAGACAATGTTTATTAAGCATACATGCAGACTCTGTTTACAGACACTATCATATACATAGTACGACTCTTTGTGTTCAAGCTATTTACGTATATTCGTTATTACAAAAGGCAACATACGTTATGCGAAGTGCTGCACCACCCCATGAAATATTGAAAAAGTTGGATAACACCAAGGTGTACAAAGTGAAGTATTAATTAGTAACCTTAATGCAACTGTTGACAGTCATAAACTTTATAATATAAATCACTTCTTTTTAAAAGGTGCATCTGAACCCTTATTGGGATAAGATATAAATTGTATCGACTGACATTTCAAACAACATCGTATTAAGTTGACAACATCATTTACTGCACATATTTTCAAACTTGTGACAGAACGCTGATATTTCACATTCCTTATCAACTACGTTGAATCAGTGGCGTCTTTTCTTAGACGATTTTATACGTTTGACTGTGACTGTTCGCTTTACTGGAGGTTTGGGTTTTTGCTTCTCTGCAGGTTTGCTCTGAGGTTGGGGTTGCTTCTTGTCTGCAGGTTTTTTCGGAGGCGGACCCAGCCATTTCGGCCATGGCATGTTGACCCCGTTCTTTCTCAGCTCTTCTACGTGCATCCTCTTCAGGCTGTGGAGATGCCTGGTGTTCAGCACTCCGCAGAACTTGCCATCAATGACGAACTCGTCGTTCCACCGGGAAGCGCCGAAGCGTTTGTCTGCGGTGCTGTTCTTGACGACCGTTACGTCACAGAATCGACTCGTCATTTGGTTGATCTCCTTGAACCGCGCAAGCTGCAACAGAACATCATTATTAGTGGCGTCTGCTATAGCTCTACCCATCATTTTGTTAAAGTGTAAGATATGGCTGTATGAGAAGACGATAATCTGAGTCAGAGCATCACAGCTCGGATATCATGAGCTATGTTCACTTTATATTCTTTATGTCATGGCCATGGCCATCATAGCAAAATTGACACATTGAGCTATTCCTTTCATAATTTCTGTCCTTCTTTTGGCAAAAACGTACCAAAAATTGCCATGGCGTATGAATGAAAGAACGTATCAGTGCGAAACCAGTGATCAACACCTCACCTCGTTAAAGAAGTCCTCCCCCTCACGTGCGATTTTGTCCCACAATGTCCTGTTGAAGTGTTCATAGATCAGGTAGTCAGCCCTGCTCCAGTTCCTGTGGATCTTCTTCATTTTAGGGGACAGGTCTTCCTCCTTGAAACCGTATCTAAAGAGGACAAGAAAGAGCAAAGGTCAAGTGAAATTAATATCCATGACGCATGGCGTTTTTGTGCGTCATATTGCATTGTGATTTTAGGTCCCTTTCGTATAGCTCTTCACTTATTGCTAATTCTTGAAATCATCATATACTCACTCTCGACTGTTCTGTATTTTGTAGAAAATGTCTGTCAGCTGCCAGCACATGTAGCGCTTCAGCAGGACTAGCGACTCGTCGAAGTACTCCAGCACCAGCACCAGCAGGAAATCCCGGTCCAACTGGGCTATGTAGTCACGGACGTACTGTTG